ACCAGGGCACAACATACCTGGCGCCCCGGGAACTTCTCGGGGGAGCGGGGCGGCCGCGCTGCCCGCCCGGGCTGGGATGCGGGGCTGTCGCTCCGGCCGGTCGCGCCAGGGTCTCCCCGCAGCCCGGTCCTCCTTTTCTTAAAAACCATCCCTTCCTCTCTCCCCGCTCCCCGCGCTGCTACCAGGAGAGATTTTGCATCCCAGAGATACAAACCTGTGCTCCGAAAAAAGTTTCGAGCGGGGCTGTTTCCAATACCTATTTACCAACGAATTACACCGCTATTATTGCTTTCAATGAAGACTGAATCCCCAAGCGATAATTGAATTAGTCTATTGAAGAGACTGTCAGGTACAATGACGTGGTATATCCCGCGCCTTTCCCAGGGTCTATAGGCTTTGGGGACCCGGAATGTATAGTCTGACCTTACAGCTCATAATAATAATGCTGCACTTGTAGCAGAAATCTATTCGTATTCACTTTTAACAAAACCTCTGGTCAGCCAGTCCCTGTAGGAAGGATGAAATCTATTGTATTAGAACAACTCATTTATGTCCTTCAGCAAAGGCCCCAATGAGATCTGATCTAGACCTAGAAATAGGATTACCACAGCGTATATTAACCACGTTTCTATACTTTCTCCTTCCTATAAGGGCGCCGAGAAAAAAAAAATACGATGGGTTTTTAATCTAATTTTAACTTTATTTTTATTTTCAATTTTAAAACTTCCTTCCTTTGATGGCCTTCCTCAAAAAGAAGAAAATGCGAAGAAGAAAAGGAAAAAAAAAGTTATTGCAACGAAATCGGAGAAATTATTTCTCCCCGTTTCCAAAGAGGCTGCGGGTGCCGCAGGCTGGCGTCGTGCGGCGGGAGCGATGCGAGCGCCCTCCGCGCAGCCCGACGGCAGGCAACGGGGGTCCCAGCCCTGCTCCCCGGCTCCGCCGCCCCTCGGCCGCTCTCCACCTCCCGGACTGGATTTTCTCCCGCCCCATGCCAGGATGGCTGACCCAAGCTCCACCGCCGAGAGCCGGTGGGGACACCAACCTGCAAGAGACTCAGACGGCACCGCGGCACTTCCGAGGGGCAGCAGAGCCGCAGCACAGCCCCGGCCCTGCAGCACTTCAGGGAGAGCCCCCGGTGTCCCGGACCCGCTGGACGCACCGGCGGCTCCTCGGGACCGGCCCCCCCTGAGACGGCAGCGGGCACGGGGCACCAGGGGACCGGGCGCCCCGACGGGCGCCCCGAAACCCAGCGGCACCCACAAGTTACAGAGGGAACTTTTTCCTAAGAAGAGGGTTTTTTTAAAGCTTCCGTCCGTAAACCGTCTGTGTGCAGACATATTACCCCGATTACCGTAACTACCTGCGAGCCGGGGAGTAATATTTATCTATTTAGATAGGAAGGGTCGCGATGGAAAAAATATCCAGCCTGGAAATATACATCGTCTTTTCCTTTAACCCCTCCTCATTCATCCAGCCGATCCCCCACCCCTTCCATACACAAACCTACTCAATTTATAGAGAAGCCTTTACAATCCAGAACAGTTTCTAGAAGAAGGGAGGACTCCAGATGAAATAATCCCCCTCCCTACACACACACGTACACACAGACACACACGCACATACACACACTTCCCCCCCGCGCGTGCTCAGGAAGGCAAATTAAATAGTTAAAGGCTTCGATTTCTCTCTCTCTCCCTTTTGTTACCCAATTTTGGAACATTTAAGGATGGGTGTGTGTATTGTATTCAATAATAAAAGCTATAGGGCCGCCAGGACATTTATCATCCTATTACTGTAACAAATCCGGGCTCCCAATACATGAAAGGTAAAATGAATTACCGACGTTAAGCCGTCAATAAAGTCATTTCTGTAAATGGTGTCTCCGAAGGACTGCAGCATTATTCAACTAGCTTTATCAGCAGCTGGGAAATTACGTGAAGAAGCTCGCAGCGTGTAATATGGCCCTGCTTACTTTGATTAAGCGTCTTGCCAGGGAATAGTGACAGTGCTTTTGACCAGGTTTTATTCGCCGTCCTGTGATGAACGCCAAGCTGATCAGGCGGAATGAAGAGTAATTAAAACCTATAAATTATCTTTTGCAGCCCTTCTCAAGGCGTCTCTTGCAGGAGAGATAAGGCAGCGAGCCCCCATTTACAGCTCTGAAAGGGACCGCGGCTCACAAAGGCTACGTGGCTAAATGGGATATTGATAGTGTCCTAATTAGAATTTAATTAAGTACCCACGCTCGCTTTTGGGATAAAGATTTCAATTTTGCTAACTTAAATATAAATAAACCCAATTTCGGTGCGAGTAAATGATATGATATTGTGAATGCGGAGGGGGTTAACATTCATTTAATTGCGGATGAAGCTCTTGATTCCAGGGCTGATTTTGTTCTGCCAGCTATTATTTTAGGGGATTATTGTGTGGCTGGAGGTAACAATTCGGTAATGTTTCCCCGGTACAGAAAATAACCGAACGTGCCTCGGAGCTGCGGGCACACGCACGCCTCCCGGGCACCTGGGGAGCAGCTGACAGACACCCAGAGGTGTCTCCTTCGATTCTCGGTGCTGGTCGCCTTCTGGAAGCGTAGTCACGGGCCGGGCCGCTTCCACGGGGCTCCTCCCGGGGCGGGAAGCCCATCCAGCCGGGGCGGCGCGGCAGGGCGAGATGAGGGAGCCTCGCTGCTGCCGGCACCGCAGCTCAGCCCGCAAGGCACCGCCGTCATATAGACACACACAGTTATAGACACACACACATAGAGCTATAGGTGTATTTTGAGCCCGCACCCGTGCACATATAGGATATATAGGCGGAGGCACGTGACGCGGCCCGGCCCCACGGAGAGGCGCGGAGCGCTGCGCGGGGCCCCGCGGCCTCCCCGGACCCACCACCACCCAACCGCCGTTTTGGAGGGGAAAATGGGGGGCTTCGGTTACGTCAGAAAGAGAAAACGCCCTGAATTGCCCTTCCCATATCCCCAGGAAACGGCCGCGGGCAGGAGCGCGGCTCCAGCCGGAGCAGGTGCCTGCGGCCGGCCGGGAAGCGCCGCGGCTCCGGGCACCCAGCACGCCCGGACCTCCTCCGATGTGTAAAATGTGAGGTGTCGGGGGGACCCCATCCCCAGTGCCGCTTCGTGTGAGCACCAACACTGCCCTTCCACGCAGCGACTCGGCCCTTGGTGGCCGGGAGCGCCCGGGGCCGCGGGGACCGGCTGCGGCAGAGCCGCCCTCCCTGCGGCGCTTGGCTGCGTCCCCAGCAGCCCAGCAAAACCAAAACCGGGGCCAGGGTATTTTTATTTTTTTTCCTGTAAATTAATTTTTAGATACCAGCATCGTTCCTGAAAAAAAATGGCTTTTTCTTTCCAACCTTTAAAATCCTTAAATTTCCCTTCTCCCTCAACACACGTCCCGAGGTGGGTGTTCCCTGCCGGGCAGAAAAAAACAAAACAAAACCAAAGAAGAATACTAGGGGAAAAAAAAAAGGCAACAAACAGATTCTGAACAAACAAATAAACATCAAAAAACAGAGCAGGAAACATGATACGAGTTCAGCTGTGAGCTGGCCCTGATCTGCTTCATATTCCGAAAAAAAGCCCAACACCCCAAACCTAGTAAAGAGGGGTTTACTGAGAGAGAGGGAAACCACAGAGAGGCAACGGCCGTAAGCCCGGCTCGCCCTGGCAGTGCCTCCCGCCTTTATTGCTATTTATTGTCATTTTTTACTCCTCAAAAACAAAAATTTTGGATTCCCGGCGAGCCTCCGCCCGGCTCGCCGTCACCCCTCGCTGCGGGAGAACAGAAAACAAAAAGAGGGGGATAAGTGCACAGATATGGGAGGAGGGGGTGTTTATTATCGCTGGGGCTACACGAAAGCGGCCGATGACCAAAAAATCAACACACCACGCGTTGAGAGGGGCTGCACGCCGCTGCTGGAATTTGTTTACAGGGCTAGCAGGGGGTCGGGGTGGTGGTGGGGGGCGACGTGGGGGGGAGCGGGTCCACGCGCGTGGGCGCGGCGCGGTGCTCCCGCCCCGCCGGGGCGCTGCTGCTGCCGCCGCTGCCCGCCCGCCCCGTCCCGCCCGGCGCCGTCCGCCCCGTCCGGTCCCCACGCGGTATTTATGGCGGCGGCCCCATTGGGCGCGGTGCGGGGTGTCAGCGGCGGCCGCGCCGCGCCATTGGCCGCCCCCACGTGCGGGGCCACCTCACGTGCTTCCGGTGCGAGTGAAAAAAGTGTGGCTGAGGGATTTTTTAGGGAGAGTTTGGTGCACGGATCGGCGCTGTCAGAGATTTGGCCTTTTTTTTTTTTTTTTTTTTTTTTTTTTTTAGAAAAGGCGGAAAAAAAAAAAAGGGGAAATAAGGGGA